CAGAGTGCAGTAGATCAACTCTACCTCCACATGGGGAGAGCTTTCAACAGCAACTTGTCACAGTCTTCCCTCACGTTCTGTTATTATTTGATGCCTATTCTGATATATCAAGGATGATTTGGGTTAGTTTAATTATGTCTGTTTTAGTGGGGAAAATGTTTCTCTTGAAATATGTTTTTTTCTTACTGTTTCTATTTGTTTTCACCTCTGTGGTGTTTCCTTGATTTCCTTTTAAGAAATTTTAAAAAATATATTTATTTACATGTTTATTTAAAAATTACAAATGTATCTGTGTGTCTGTGTGCATGCGTATGCACATTTGTAGGTACAAGTATGACACAGTTTGTATGTGGAGACCAGAGAGCAATTTACAGGAGTTAATTCTCTCCTTCTATCATGAGTCCTGGAAATCAAACTTAGGTCATCTGACTTGATGATAAGCATCTTTACCCATACACCATCTGAACATCCATCAGGCTGGTTCTACTTATTTATTACTTAGTACTGCAACAGCACACATGTGAAGGCCAGAGGACAACTTTCATGAGTCAGTTCTTCTACCATGTGAGTCATGGGTATTGAACTTGGATCATCAGCCATGAAATCAAAAATCTTTATCTAATGAGAAATCTCTATCCCCTACCATAGCCACCATTAGTTAACTTCTTTGTATGTGAGATATAACATAGATCCAAAAAGAAAGACTGTAGAAATTGGCATAGCAGTTTTCTGGCATAGGACTAGATAAATAATGAAACAGAATTCAAAACCCAAAGATATACAAAACTATGGAGAAATTAGTTTAATAAAAGAGTAACAGGGAAATCCTGTGGAAAAGAAAGGGCTATCTTTTCAACAAGTGATACTTAGACAATTAGGTACCCTATGTGGAAAAAAATAGAACTGTGAACTATATATTACAGCATATAGAATAACTCCATGTAGATTACAAGCATAAACAACGTTCAATACATAAAAACTCTTGAAAGAAACAATAAATGCCAAACATCAGTAATCTTAGAGGAAGCAAAGATCACCTAAATAATACATCACAAGCATAGTACATGAAAAGAAAAGCTGGACTTCATCGAATTTCAGTGGTCTTTGAAAGTCACTTAAGAAAGCGCTAAAGCCTAGCCATATACTGATAAACATTTCCAAGAGATGCCTGACAGAGGACTTATGATCTAGGCTGTGATAAATCACTGTTTTTTTTGCTGTACAATTACTCAGACACACACCAACAGCATTCACACAAAATGCTCCTGCTCTTCATTGGCGTGTCCCCCAATGTTATATTTCAAAGAAATTTTTAATTTCGAGTGGAACTGTGCAATCTATTCTAGGAAAAGATATCATGTTCTCACAATGCATTACTTACAATGAGAACATTACAGTGTTCTTTGAACTAGAAGACGTGGTTTGTTTCCAAACATAGAGCTGAGAAGAATCTTCAATAGAGAAAACAAAATTGAATTTTCCTCTTAGGAAAATACATTTTAATGGTACACAGTTGGACTACCAAGCTCAACATTTTGTATTTCAGAAAAACACTCTGATATAAAGTGAAAAAAAATGACTCTTTTTGTTTTCTCTACAGCTTTAAGAAAATCAAATTTTACCTTCAAGATTGCTCACCTGAAAAGGTAACATGTGTCAAAGCAGAGAGCATCAGAGAAAGTGTGGTCACGTGGTGCACACAGATGCTTCTTCTCATGTCTTCTGTGAAGATGAAGAAAATGCCAGTCAACTGTACAGATAACTTTTCAACATGAGAAAACGCAATTCCTTTGGGGATGCTGTATCAATACCAAGTTGACCACAGTTGTCTCACATAGGCTCCAGTCTCTGCTCTAAAGGGCAGGAAAACTATACCAACAATTCACACCTCCTCTTCCCTCCACCTACTGTGTGTATTAAATGACATCCTGTCTAGAATAGAAATTAGGCTCAAGACTTTCCAAATCTATGTCATCAGCTTAAGCCATCATTCATTCTATTTCGTCTAAAAATTGTAGCCAATGGTACACAAAGAACTGAGATTCATAATAAGTGAAATTTTCTATTTTCACATGGAGAGAAAACAAAAGGAAGATGTTGGAGGAAAATAAAATAAATCTAACAAACAATGACAATCATAGATGGAAAAGGAGGGATCTGAGATATGGGGAAACTAGAAGTATCTCCCTTGACTTTGTTTGACTAAGGATAGAGGAAATGAAAAGAAGTTACCTGAATGAACTTTCTGTTGTTAACTTGAAGTTACTGCTAGCGTCAGACAGAACTGGCTAGGGGGCTGTGAAGCCATAGGGGTGGGCTCCCTGCTCATTTGAATTTGACGATTAACTTGGCATGCTTTTGCTCTCAAGGCTGTTTCTGATTTTGATCC